ATCATCCACCATTATGCATCAAATGTTGAATTTTTATATTTAAATTTAAATAATAAGCATTTGGTATTTTATTCATTCATTTGTTACCTATTATACTCGTATTATTATTATAAACTATTTATGCGAAAATAAGAAATTCAATATTTTGTGGTCATAATGTATTTGATGAATTTTTGTGCTGCAATTATATTTGACGTAAAAAAAAAGACTAAATCTAGCCACCTAGGGTGGTTATTAATGTACTTAATGGCTGTTAAATTTGCCAATTACAATCCTATATAAAGTAGGGTCATAGGGGGTCATGGTCCCGGGCATACCACGAATATCAAACAATAGTAGGCCCCTGATGGGTAGTAGGTTTTTTCGTTATTAACTATTTTTTTTATCTTATATAAAATACAAGTATAAAATAGTATATAGTTTTACGGTTTTGTGTTCAGAGAATAATGTTTTAGATGTAATTAATACCGATGATATAATTAAAGGGTTTGCTTCCCAAAAAGAAAGAAAAAATTATTTATATAAATAACATTCTTATTTTTTGTATTAAAAAAACCAAGAAATAAATTTATCAATTAGAATATAATTTTTTTTTGTCTCTGAAATATCTTTATGTGTGTGTTTTGATTATTTTTATGAGCCTCTTAAATTGTTTGGCCCTGGGCCCCAAATTATCATAATCTGGGCTTGGCCAATCATAAACGACATAGGCGCAAATCCACCTAATACTCTGGGGGTGTTCAAGTCCCTCCAAAATTAACTTATCAGTAACTCTGGGGGGGGGGGCTTTGACCCTCACACTCACCATAGATCTCAAATACTTTGCCAAATATTTAAAATAAATATTAAAATAAACAGAAGCAAATTCATGAAAATAAAAATTTACTTATATAATAATAATAGGTACATATTATAATTAAAACTTTTATTATATAATAGTAGATCAAAACTGCACAAATGAACAATGATCACTATATCATTAGTTATCTGAAAAATAACTACCAAATAAATTGTTGTCGGAGTAATATCCAGGCCCATATTTAAGGGGGGGCACGGGTAGGCAAACGCCCGGGGGCGTCAAGTCTCAGGAGTGGCGAAATATTTTAGCAAAATTAATTTCAAAAATTATGTACCTAATGAAAAAAAGAAAATAGTATGATTTATTATTTTTTAATTTGTAAATTAAAAAAGAAATTGTATTTTTATTATATTATTATTATTTATTTGGGGGGAGTGGCATAAATTATTTACCTGAGGGCGCGACATTTTTAAATACGGGCCTTGTAATATCTAAATATAAACAAGATTTTAAGTATTAAAAACGATGTAATATAATATTATAAATGATGATAAGTATCATTTATTTCTAGAATATATTGATGGTGCTAAATACCCTATAGGATATAGGATATTTTAGCCTATGACAAGCGAGCACAGCGAACTGCAAATTTTTTGATCATACAAAAAAAAATGTGACTCACTCAAACTTTCTCCACCCGGGCTGAAGTACTCTCGGTCCGATCCTACATATAATCTTTAATTATAAAAATAGTTATGATAAATCGTAAAATTCGTTTTCAAATTAACGTAAATTGAAATTCACATCTTTATAAAAATTATTTGGTTAATTAGGGTGAACACCACGTTCTCCCGTTCCGGTAAAAATATAGTTGGGGCATGCAAAAAAAAAAAAAAAAAGAAATAGTAGATGAGCTCTGTTCCCCTGTGCATCCTTCACAATACGAGCACTGCTGTTGACTTATGTTAAAATTATCAAAGTTACGTTGATATTTCATTTTTATACACAAAAAAATACACATAAGATCATGATATGCATGACTTATGTTGACATTACTCGGCCGATGTTGAATAAATCCAAATTTTATTATTATTTGTATCATTTTATATCATACTAGCTGAATTACCCAGCTTCACCCGTGTGTAGTTTTTGCTTTTTCTAAATTAAATACTTAATTGTTTTAATTTACTTAATTTCATTAAGTGCTAAATAGTAGTAGTTGCTGAATAACAAATAAAAAGCAATAATAATAGTTATAATAATTTTTACAAATTATTCTATACTGAGTTACTCATTATTAAAATTATTTAATTCAAAATCTCTTGGTATATCACATACAGAGTTTTATTTTTTGGTGTAAGAACGTATAAATATTCGGGTCTTCTAACTCTAGAAAATTCCACGTACAATTCACTAATATAGAGTGAGGAACAGCTATTTTCCATATCTACACCACAATAAATTAAAATTTGTCCTTGTGCTTTGTTTATTGTCATTGTAAAACAAACTTTTATTCGAAACTGTATACTTCTAACTAAACTGAAAAATCGTTGAGCTATAATGGTATTTTCTGTAAAAATATTTTTTTTCTCTTAGAAAATCCAATTAAAATTTTAGCTTCAATTATTAATTAATTACATTTTTTGGAAAAGAGGTAACCCGGACACTAGACTTACAATATAACTTTAGAGAATTCAAAATTCTCATGATATGATTGGAATTTCCACCTTCAGTGTTATTTTATGAGGAGATATAAAAAAGACCATTACGTTTTATATAAATAGGGATGAAAATAAAATTATGTCCTCTTTCTCCCCTAAGACAAAAAAATGAAAAACCGGGTGATGTGGTGACACCCAGAAAGATATTTGAAACAACTCTGTGAAAACAAATTGGAAAAATGTTAAATAATGGGAATATAAAAAATTCTTGTTCTTTTATACATATATAATTCACGTGTATTTATGTAGATGGTCACAATAAATAAAATTAAATAATTATATAGTTCGTTGATTGGAAACTCTGACAACAAATTGAATATTTGATTGTTGTTGATTTGAAGATGTTTGAACCGTTTCATTTTACGACTTGTACGGGATATTATACAAAACACTGAAGAGATTTACACAATATTCACTATATTCACTATATATTCACAATATTAACCAATAACGAGATTGATGTTAATAACTACTACACTTGCAACAATCATTTATTTTATATTCCTCATTCCTCTAAAAATTATATTACATAAAGTATAATGAATTATAAAATGTAAAAGCTATTATATTCCTTTTTCTCGCACTATTACATTCCGATCTATTTAAAATATGTTTGTATTATTGAGTATACAAATTCGGTCATCAATGATTACGAAATTCGTGTATTTCCGAAAAATATTCAATGCAAATTCATTATAGTACATGTATTACCGTATAACAAGACCACCAATAGGGAATGGGACAATAAGCAATAGAGATAGTTTCAATGAAGTCAATAGACCTTTATTTTTGTATTATCAATCATACTATATGGAGCGATAATTGAGTTTTAAATTGTGGACATAACAAAAAAAAATGTATCAAAGCCAAATTAATAAATTAAATTACGATAAGTGTACAATAACAAAGAAAAAAAATGTGATTGAAATACTAGGATGAATATTGGACTTTCAAAAATAAAAGGAGGTATTTAAAATATAATTTGATATTATATTAATTATTTGAATACCGATTTTCAAATAATATTACACAAAGTTATGACTGCACTTTGAAATATATTATATGAAATATTAAGTGCAATTTTATAAGCCGATTAGTCAAACAAAAACATTAATATAAATTCAATATAATTGTTACTGAAATAAATCTCGAGTCAAGGAACAATAATGGATTTTTCTCTTCTAATTCTAAATAATACACATGTATCATTTGATTTAAATTAGTAGGTATATGGTATGATTGGTTGATAAATTTAAGTATTTATTTGTTAGCTGGTTTGAACAAAATCAATTCGAGAATTTATAAAAGTCATAATAATAATAATTGTATATTATAAATAGCTCAGTGTATTTATACATATTGATTTTCATTTGTTAAAAACCATTTTCCGTAAAAGTGAAAAATATCAACTACTGTGAAATACAAAGGTATATTTATAGAATGGAAAACAAAGGTATTTATTCGAAATCGATGGGCAAGCTTTGTCAGAAATTAATTCAATAATAAAATTGCTATATAGTTTATCAAGAACGATATTGTTGAAAGACTCCGATGCGGGGTTTTAATTAAGAATAAATGAAAAGAATTAACTTAAAAAGTGACTCGATGTATTTAAATGTAAGACATAAAATTGGACGTCCGGGGAGAAATGTTATAAGTTACATACATGGATCGTATTCATGCGTTTCATTTCATAGTTTGGCAGCTTAAGTTCTATTTTTTTTAGGTAAAATGGCAACGGATTGCAAGATCGATCCATCTCTAGAAAACAGATGTCAGACCGCCGCGTTTGCCGTAATAAAATCATGTTTCACAAAGGAAATGTTCGAAACGCAGCCGCCTACGCAAAAAATTAGGTCAGTAAACACAGGGTACGAATATGTGGTGTCCTCTAAGGTGTTGTGTGAAGAAAATCCAAAAAGGAAGAAATTAATCGTACCCGAAGAACTAAAAGTGAATCGCGTGTCACTGACTTATAAAGAAGATACGCTAGTGTCGAAAATTGGATCACAGTGTAGAAATGAAAATGTTGAGTGCGCTGTAAAAACGGTTTGTAAAAAAACATCAAAGAGGAAGATATTAGTTTATGAACAACGGCCGTAGGGGCAGAATATTGAATTAGTCATTAAAAAACCCATTGAGGTATCTGAAATGAATACAGAGCTTAAACATGTGGTGACCTCTAAGATGTTTTGCGAAGAAAATCCAAAAAGAAAGAAATTTATCGTACCCAAAGAGTTAAGAATGAATCGCGTGACACTGGCTTATAAAGAAGGTACGTCAGTGCCGAAATTTGGATCACAGTGTAGAAATGATAATGTTGAGTGCGCTGCAGAGACGGGTTGTAAAGAAACACCAAAGAGGAAGAAATTAGTTTATGATCAACGGCCGTAGGGGAAGAATATTGAATTAGTCATTACAAAACACTTTGATGAGGTATCTGCTACGGTAGTAGGTGGAAAAAAACCACCGATAATAAAATGAATCGCGTCCGAAAGGCAGAGAATGGACCACGTGTCATTGGTCAAAGCAAAACAGTGGCCGCGGTGGAAAAGTAATACAATATCAATAAAACTGTATACGGTGTAACTACACAAAAGCCAATAGGTAGAAAAAGTGTTGAAAGTTCGACGGGTATATATTTTTTTTTCGTAGTAGCAAACAAATCAATCACTTAATATTTTATTATTAATTAAATTAATATAAAAAAAAAAAAAACAAAAATACAATAGAATCCGAAATAACTAGTGTGTAAGTCGTAATTATTTACTAAAACAATGTCATCACATACTTCATTCCCAGTATATCCATTATGAATGGATATTGAAAGTTATATTCACCAAAATATCAAAATAATCAAGTGTAAAAAATATTATTAAAATATAATTCGACTTATTCGACACTACTATAAGATTTACCTTGGACAGAGGTTTCTCGAGATCCTTAATATCTTCCCTGATAAAAGAGATAGTCCTGATGCTAAACATAAATTTTGGCTTTGCAAAAAAAAAAAAATAAAATTAACATTGGAAAATCAAACATTTAAACTGTACCCGTTTATATAACTATATTTCCCTTTTTCCTAGCAGATAACTCATTTTTTCATTCTTATCTTTCCTTGGTTATATAACTCCCGATACTAATCTTCTCCTTAACTCTCGTTCCATTCCTATCATTCATTCCATTATTAATTTCATCTTTTCTCCTGGCTTCTTTATTTAGTTTATAAACAATTATTTTTAGCTAATTGTTTAAAATCTTTATGTTTAAATAATTTAATTGTATTGCTGGAATGTTTATTAACTAAGGCGAAATAAATTAAAAAAAAGTTTATAAATTCGAAGTATGTTTGAAATGTTTTAAGAAAAAATATCTATTTATGAAAAAATTTTTTATTAGAGTTCATAAAGTGAGTCGTATTATATTGCTATTAGGTATATACTTGATCCACTGATCCTCTGGAGGATTGATAGCAGACGGTCCTGGTTGCTCGAGACCACCTTCGATTTTTTCGTCATTACTAATGACGATTACTGACAGATATGTCTGCAGATAACATAAATACATTTTATATAAATTATTTAATAAATAACCGATGTAACAATAATATGGTTACAATAACAGTTTTATTTTAAATTAATTCCAAATCCAAATAATTGTTTTTAAAATTATTTTTAAGTTTAAATAATTTGTAAAAATTATTCAAAGTCAGAACTATAATTTACAAAACAAAAATCCAAGTATAAATAATTATTCGTAAAAATTATTCAAAGTCAAAACAATTATTTATAAAATAAATATAAAATAAAAAAAAAAATGTAAAATAAAAAAAAAAAATAACTATGAACAATTACCGTAATATATTTTATATTATTAAATCGAAAAAAAAAATAAATTAATGACTATGATTAAGGACTGACATGAAAATATTGTGATTATCTTGATATTAAAAAATGCATTTTAAATTTTTAAACATTTTATTAACTGAAGTCTCAGGTTTTTTTTATTTCCGTCTTACTTATATCTCTTTATTTCAAAGGCAAAATAAAAAATATTACTTCTGTAATATAGGGATATAAGTGAGATCTAATGTCAAACAATATAGTCCACAGATCAAATATTTCTTGTTTAAGTTTTAGAATATCACATAAAATAAACTTTTATATGTGTATAGATAAAAACTCGATAATTAAATCATACAATATCGTTTATTGTGATTTACGATTATCTAAATAACTTTGAACTTGATTGTTACGAAATGAAAATAAAGTCGCTTATCTTCTAATACGTACCTTTAAGTATCTAAGTGTAATGATGTGCGTTTAAGCCATCATATCTTTTTAGATTCAATATATATATAAAATAAAATAATTACAATAATTGTTAGTCGTTAAGAATAAGATAAGACACACACACACACACACACACATACATACATATAATATTAGATATAAGGAGCTCCGTTTTTAGTCACTGGGCTATACGCGTTATTATTGTCTATTGGTGTAGACGGTCAAAAGCGAGCATTAAAAGACTACGCAGATCGTCTGTACAATAAGATATATTATATATTAATTGTAAATGTTTAAAATATATGTACGTTAAGATATATTGAAGAGATTAAATAAATTAATAAGTATTATTGTAAATTAAAGAAAAAAGTTTTTCTTGCTTTATTGGTCATCACATTTAACACCTCAGATATTGGCTACGGTTTCAACAGGCAAGGATCAGAGAGGTAATATCATTTAATTTATAATATAATAGTTAATGAATAATTGATTTAAAGACATATAATAAGCCATAGTTAATTAATGTTCGATTTAATTCATTACAAAGTGGCGCCCAACTAGTGGCTCTTACCGCGTTTAAAAAATCCCCAGTATAGTTTCAATAGCTCAACAAAACCAAAAAAAATATCATGACAAATTACATAAAATAATTAATTTTAACCCAGGAGACTTAGTTCTTATTAAATTCCCATTTTTAGAAGTAGGAAAATCTCCAAAATTAGGCCCAAAATACAGAGGCCCTTTCAAAATTTTAGAAAAAGTCAATGACCTAAATTATAAAATCGAGCTTATTTTAAATAATAAAATAACTGAAGATATAATCCACATTAGGCGTCTTAAGCCATATCACTCAAGAGAAAACATTAAAAATATTAACCATCACTAATTAACACAAATAAATAATAATAAATAAACTATCAAACATTTAACAAAAAAATATGATATATAATCTTAAATAATTGTTTAAGATACATTATAAATAATAAGGTAATAAAAGTTGTCCAGAAATAATTTGATAACCACATACTCAAATCATTATAATAAACACTATATAACGTGAAAACAAAATTTTTTCAAGTATGTACAAATTATATGCGTATTGGATATGATTAATTAAATCCGATATCAATAAATAAAATAATAAAAATATATTCATACCAATTTTTTCAAATGTCCTAAATTCTTAGTATTTAAATATTGAGAAATTAAAACAATGTATATAAATATATAATAATAATACGTGTTAAAAACATATGAATAATTTAAGTTAAAATAACCTAAACTCTATAAAAGAATAATATTATGTAATGAACTGAACACGTCGAGTTTTATCATTACAAAATAAGTTTATTTATAAGCATAATAGTTTTACCAGAATGGATAAAGATATATGTATGAATACATAATAAAATATAACATAACATTTAACATAACATAAAATTTAACAAAATATAACATTTAACATAATAAGTAATATTTAATATGTTTATCACTTACGGCTCTGTAGCACTTTGAAGTAAAACGATAATTTAAATTATTCAATGTTGCGGCGTAAAAGGGGACACGAATGTATTACGGAGCCCTATAACAACGAAAAATAAAATAGTCAAAGGTGTGGGGTATATTAAGGCCACACCGGACTATTTACTTACTCACACAATTTTAAATTTAAAAGGAAAATGATTTACGCGCCGAATATGTCAATGAAAACTGAGATTATTTTGGTGGGGAACGCTGACATCGGTGGGGAGATATTTTTTAGGCCAGGCAGTCCGACAGACGGGGTTTTAAGGCCGTACCCTGAACTCTGAACCTTTAGAAATATCTCGCAACAGATTTTGGTCAGAAAGATGTAACGAATTGGTCTGTCGGTCTCTTATATATGTGTATTTGGTGTTTATTGATTTAATTTCCCGGATGAGTAAAAGGTACATGTTTCATTTAATAAGTTTTGGTAGATTAATGTATATTGTATTTGGAGATATGTATTTATTGTGCACTGTAGGCGTTTCTGAATTTTACTATTTATTTACTGTTAAAGAAAGTTGAAAGTTTATTAATTGTATTACACATTTTATGTTTTTTAATATTACATCGCGCCAGCGCTATCTACCGTCGTTGCAGTGTGAGATCGACGGGTCGATGCGTGACGTCATGAGATACCGGTGGCGCAGTATAGCGGATGGTAGTAGGTGTGTGTGATCGTTACAATTAAATAAATGAAACATCAAAAAAAAAAAAAAAAAAAGAATGTAAAGATAAACTAACCTAAATAAGCATAAGCATATTACATTTTTGTAAAAAACACAAAAATAATAAATAATTCATATTATGATCATTGAAAAATGCAATAAAATGCATTTTCCTCCTGGGCCCGCTATTGATTATTTACTATTTTGATCTTCCCGTGAAAATTACTCTATACGTTGCACACACGTATAATTTACGTCATACCTTGATGGTTTCGCGTTGTTTGGATGTCTACTAGAGCTCTTAAAACACGTGTCACGGAACTCACGCGTCATGTGAAATACGCGCTTATCCAAAATATATATCCATTTTTACAATGGTAAAATTAGTAATTTTATCTTATGTACTTGAAGTTCAATAAAATATTATTAGTACAGTATTAAGTTAAGGTTATACGTTTTTATTTTGGATTTGACACGTGACACGTGAATTCCGTGAATTCACGTGTATTAAGAGCTCTAATGTTTACATTACCGCGGCGTTATTTCCTTAGGCTTTACATTATTTACCAACTTACGAGTATACCGAGTGCCTTCAGATATTGTTTTGTTCGCGGTGTGCATATGGCTGTTAGATCGTCGAGGAAGTTTGCGCCCCGAAATTAAAAAAAAGAATACTTGCTAAAAATTCACGGAAAATTAATCGCCTGAACGTGTTCATTTGCATCGCAGATAAAATTTTCGTTGAAATACTGTACAGTGAATCTACTGAATCGTCATTTGAGTTTGCATAAATTAATACCATTTACATTTTATTTCTTAAAAATCTGAAATAAGAAAACCCAATGGATGTGTCAGGTTCTAAATCTAAATTTTGCATCAATTTATAAATTTACTCATTTTTAAAGAGAACGCCAATTTAAAAATGTTATAATTAACATACATTTTAATAGTCTATAGATAATAATAAAACTAAATGACTTGCAGTATTATTTACACTTATTTACATTAGCATTTCTTAATTAAATTATTAAATATAGATAAAATTTTAAATTTTTTTTTCGTGTCTTACAACTACAAATAGATGAATACGAACAAACATTAATAAATCATAAGTTGATAAGTAATAGATAATTTTTAATGATCATTGGTTAGTTCCATTTTAAGTTTAGAATGAGATTTTTGTAAAGCTGTTACAATTGGATCAAATGAAACCAGTAATCTATGAATTATATCTGTATTGTTGTATATCCTAGAGTTCTTGTATGTTATACGAGAATATTCCCTTTAATTCTTTTAATCTTTATTCTTATAATATTATACTTTCAATAGTTGTACTAAAAAAAAAAAAAAAAAAATTAATGAACTAACTGTTTTAAGTATACATTTTTACTTTGAATCTAAATAAAATACTAACCACTTAGAATAAATGCATATCGAATAACGTAAATCCCATGCAGTAAAATTTAATTTGATTTGACCTGAAGATTAAACGAATGATTTTAGGTTCTATTATAAATTTTGAAATATACACTATTTTTATAGTTACCTTATATGTCTTAAATGATAAACGTTAGAATACATGTAAAATACATTGAAAAAAAAATTTAATATATATAAACTATACTTAAAATTGTCTATGTTGGTTTTTTTTATAACTTTATCAATGCCATTAAAGTTTTTAGGTGTGGACCCAAAAATTTAGATTAATATTTTATTTTTTTTTTGTATATTCCGAAAAGCCCGTGAAAAACGCTCAATTCTACTATTTTTTGCGAGTAACATACATTAATATTGAACCCATCTTTCATTATAAGTTAAAATTTTTTTAAATTACTATTATTTCGTGTTAAGCAACCGCATGATTGGAAATTACAAAGCAAAATTAACATAAAATAATATAATTTATAAAATAAAATAAGATTTAATATTTAAAGGAAATCTAAATAACATTAAATAGAAATAAAGTAGACTTAAAAAATATATATTGGTAACTCTTTTTTTTTAAAATCTTTTTGGTATTAACTTTTTTTTTTTTTTTGACAAAATTAAGAAAATTCTGCACTTTGGTTTGAATCGACGCTTTATAATCCTCCGTCCAGTATGTATTTTCAGAATATGTTTTTTAATTTTTTGAAAAATAATAATATTAAAAACTAATTGCAATATCTAAAACATATTTTTTAAATTAATTCTGTCATTCATATTATTTAAAGAAATCAAACTGTGCTGGATTCTGCGCTTCATCGTAAACTATTCTTCAAGTATTTAATAACGCAAAATTTTTTGCAGATTCGTTTGACAAAAACAAAATATTCTCCATCTCCGTCGACAAGTGTAGGTGTACGGTCATCCGCCAGAGATCGGTGATCCCTATCACTAACATCGATCCGACCTCAATGCGAAACAACATCGTCGCAGCTGTGCTAACCAATCCGGTTAACAGTGCCTACGTGGCTGAAACATATGAATTTCGCAGGCAGTTGAAAGAGTTGCCAGTGGAAGTACAGATTCGAGAGGACGAAATGCTAAACCTGTACTTCTAGAAGACCATCGGAATACAAATTGGATTTAAGCTCTTTGAATCCGAAGAGCTATCTCTATTTTTTCAAGAGAATAGTCCGGTTGGTCATGCCCCACATGAAGCCATATTACGATTTAGGTCGTATAACCAAAACAATGTTTAAATCCTTCGGAAAATTCATTGCCAAGAACTTCACCTTTCATAATCATGATTCAAGTAATTTTTATACATTTTATATTTTTTTCCCGACTAATTCCAACCACATTGATTACGTTTTGTCCCTGGTGTTAAAGTGAACTTTTACAACATTTCAGATGTGGTTATGTGAACTTTTTTAATGCCAATTTTTTTTTTTTTTTGTTTAATTTTTCAGACGAAAAAACATTAGCGAGAACGATGAACGGATTTTCTCTGTTATCACGGAATACATTTGCAAATTTGAAGATATCAATAGCCACTTCATTGCGCAGTAGTAAATAGGCGCTTTCTATTTTTTCAAATCCTGCTGAAAACTATAGAATGACTTGCACACCCATTGTATTTCTAATCACACACTATTTTACATTTGATCACAATACTTAAGCTTGTATTTACTATACCAGACTAATCTTTAATTGATATTGTATTTTAAAACCTATATTTACCAGTTAGTAGATTCGAAGGTTTACAGACATTTTCATTTAGTTGCATTTTATGTACTAACGATTTTTGTCCTTCATTGTCGTTGGCTATTGTTTTACTACCTTTATAATGAACGATTACTGTTAAACAATTTCCTAATTTTTTCTTTTTTACCCGTTATTTATAACGGGGCCCATTGGTCAATAAAAAAGGAAAACCTATACTTCACATACATTTTCTTGATTATATATTAGTATGTAATTTGACGATTACTAATGTATATGTATTTATCCATTATGTAAATAAATTACTTGTTTTATGTAAAAATTATATTGTTTTAATATTTATTATTATAGCTTGCATGGTTTTTATTCAAATTGATATATTTGATTATACAATAATTAATGAAAAACATTTTGCTTTTAGAATATGACAATTTGTTTCGAATTTTAGTTCTCATATAAAATTCAAATTTTTTCTTACCTGTATCTTTTATTGCTCTTTAATATAAAATTGTACATTGTAGGAATTTATTAATATTATTAATAATAATAAAAATTTTTTGTCTTTTACTTAACCAGAAATTTAAAAATTAAAACAAATAACTTTGGATATAAAGCATTTTAAATTTAATATTCGATACGGAATCTCGGTAATATTAATATTTGATATTTATATCTTTAATAATGATTGCAATTATCTACTACAGGTAATATCAGTTTGGTCGGTCTAGTTTTAGAGTTTTTAGCTAAAAAATATGTCTGTAATAATTCGTAATTGTTTTAAATCAAAATACTACACAATTACACCTCAGACAATACTCTTTTAACACGTAGTTTTTGGTCCAAGGGAAAATGGTCAAAGTGTACTATCGTGCACGCCTTTAAATGTCCGAACTCCTAAAAACTTAGGACTTATTGGGAGAGTCAACTCTTTTTATGCCTCATCTTCCATCCTTGTCTAAGGAAATATCAAATAGTTCTTTTGTTATTTCTCCTAGAATTAGTTTTTTTTTTTAATCAAATCATGGATTCAAATGCGTCATCACCTATAGTGAATCAAAAAAAAAAAAATAAAAAAAAATATCATACAATTCAATGCAAGTTATAAGTGAAAATAAATAAATTCCAAGAAAAAAAAAATTAAAAAATACAAATCGGCATTAAAAAATGTTATTAAAAAAATAAATGATCCATGATTACAAGATATATAGACAAAACACTTTTAGAACAAAAACAGTTTTAAAAAATGAAAATATTTTAAATTCAATTTGCATTAGAACTAATAGTAAAAGTGCAAATTCTTCATAAAAAAATACAATATGGAATTAAAAAAAAACTAGTTTGCTTAATAAATATATATGATATTATAGGATTTATAGAACAGGGTTTAAACAAAAATTTAAAAAATCATTAAAAACTATAATATTAATACTTAACTAATATATTGTTCTATTGAAAAAAATTTATTTTTTTGTTAATTTTGATTATTTTCAATATATAAAACCGTATTCAATTTAAAAAAAATATTTGAAACTAATGCGTGATAAATAGTGTTTTATATTTTATGCTTAGTATAATTATGAACTAACAAATAACCTTTTTGAATTTTTTAAACTTAAGTTTATGATATTTAAGTAATTATTTATTTTTAAGTCCTCCCCCCCCAATTAAAAAATCCTGCGTATGTCACTGATAATGAAGACTATTTACAATTTTAAATAAATATTTATGCGTTTATTATATTTTAATGTTTCAGTCATCAATCTACATCAACAAATAAACGAAAATTAACAATAACCTACCATACTTGTTTATAATTCAAATTCCATTTCTATACAAAACAAAAAATACATGTATATTATATATAGTGAAATTAAAAATGTACCTACAAGTCGGTGTAAGTAGATTACCCACTATTGCTATTATCCGACTGTTGATTTATGTTCATAGATGTGATATACAACGTATTTTAAAATTTGCTTAACAATCAAAATAATTTACGTACATTTTTCCCACATTTATGATTTTTTTTTTTCAATCAAAAATATAATATATATAATTTAATATTATCCTTGTGACCCATTTTAATTTGATTATGACCCAAATATTAAGTATACGCTGAATTAGTACGGACACATGATGATAGAGGTATGTAAATGCCACCGCGGCGGTCTTCACAAGGAAACGTCTCCGATTTCCGATTTGGTGCACACACCTGGGCTGTTGTTGAACATCATTTCCATTTTGCAACCGTACTTTTCGGGATCCGTGTCGCGCCGGTGATGCTCGTCTTGAGCTAAGCAGCACATGAGCCCTGGTGGAGGGTCTGCGTCCGAGCAGATGGCACTGTTCGCTGAGTGCATCGTGTCCTGTTGGCCAGCCATCAGCTTGGACACGCCGGTGGTGATGTCGCCGTCCACAGAGCCTTCAGAAAATGTAACCGGAATGTTCAGAAAACGTTTCCACGCTGAACGAAACTGTGAATCGAATTCATAAGGCTGTATAATTATGTAACATATTATCGAGATAGGTGTATTATTGCAACCAAAAATAATAATATTAGTAATTAAAACCTAACTGCAGTTAAATACTACTGTGAAAGATCACCAAATATACAATAATATGCGATATACGAGTATACAATTACACCACAATATTTTTTGAACAAATCGTTGTAGCGTAAGGTTGTCAGTACCATTAGTTGCTCTCTATCTGTGATCTATATATAACATATCGAAGTCTCCAAAGTCAACAGAAACATATATGTCTTCTGATATTGGTAACTTAAATGATAAAATAAATAAATCTATGGATATGGTATATAATTTGAAAAATACTCAAAATAAAATAATTTCGTCTGTCAAATCTTATCGCAAATAAAATTAAATCACAAGAAAAAAAAATTTAATCCGTTATTTAATTAATTATCTCAGAAGCTAGCCGACATTGTCAAAGATTCATTAAAAGCTAAAGTTCTATCAAAAAAAAAAAAAAAAAAACTATTGGCTATATAACAAATTAATATTACTATCCCTAAAAAAAAATTATTTTCCGAATTGTTGGTTCCACAGGCTAGGGCATGTAATAATGTTTAATTCAATATTCTAGAATTTTCACCCATTGTCCTACTGATAAATGTAATGATTTATTCTTTTTTTTATTGATTTATTTCACATTTGGTCTAAAAATTCATCCGATTTTTGTGCATTTTTTGGATAAAGTTTCATTACGAATATTCTTACCAACACCTGGCGATGTGTTTGAAATATTAAAAATTAAATGTAAATTACTGTACAAGTCTAAATTTACTTCAAATCAGATTTCAAAAAATTGAACCGTAGTTAGTACAACGGAATTATTTTAAAACTGTTCTTTCTAAACTAAAATCAAGACGGGATAGAGGCAAAAATATTATTGAATATGAAGAATATAAATATTAAAGATAATAGGATGTTGTTGACTTTTGGATTTTTTTCTCTTTTTTCCTATACAATGCTATCTTAGCTAAAGATTCGTTTCATGATTTTGTGATTCAAAATATTTTTTTTTTTTACATTTTTTGACATTATTAGTTATAAATGCATATTTTACGTTATACGTTCATATTAAATGCCATTTTTGTAGTTTCTCGAAAGACAGATTTTAAAGAAAATTTAAGAAATAAAGTAAGTGTATTTTTATAATTGGAGGGTTTTGTTAAGATTATATTTAAAATCGCATATAACATCTCTAAATTACTAAATATTTATATTTATTTTTAATAATAATTATGGAAAGGCACAAAGGGAAATGATATCTTACTATATGACTTACTAAAGATGACTTGATATACTTCATATATACACCCATAACGAACATTGATGTCGAGCGAAGTTATTCATCTTACAAAAATGTATCGATGTTGTCTTTTGTTTGAAAACATCAGACACATTTTAATTGAACTATGTAATGGAAGGTAGGTATGTAAAGTAACAAGATTCATGTTTTTATCCGAATATTGTTTAAATCATTGTTTTTTTTTTTTTTTTCAGATTTTCATTGAGAAAAATGTTTTAGTAATTTCTTTTATATTTTTTGGTCATTTTCTGTATATTTTAGGGCATAGAGCATTTTTTTTCGTCATTTTTAGTAATTTTTTAAGTTATCAACATCGTATTTTTAATAATTATATTATACTATTTATTACTACTGATGATTGGAGTACTACTTATAACTGTATTGTAGCCAATGGGTTAACGGGTTATAACCTCCCACCGAAATGTTTTTCTTATTTGGTAAGATATACAATTATTTTATGACATAAGTATAATATTATATCATATCATCATCAAACAATTTTCACAGTTTTAACAAACTAAATAATAACAGATTTTATATTTTAACTTGTGTTTAATAGACTTAATTCTTCATGCACAAAAATAAATAAATTTTTATCTAAATATCCTACCTGGTTTACCACTAAATTGAAAATAATTAATATTTTCAAAAAAGATACTTCATAAAATATAAAAGCAGTTTTCTATAGAAAAAATGATTGTAATTATATCTATTATAATAAATATAATCACTATAATTCTTACAACTTACGCGCTTAGGGTAAAATTATAATATATTATACATTATATTATTATACATTATATTATATATATATATATATATATATAATATATATTATATATTATACATTATTATTATAATAAAATAAATTATACATGCTGCTATATACAAAAAGTTCAAAACTTTGTAGCAAATAATTCAAAATATTTTTCGAAAGTTTATTAATAACAAACGGTCTAATGTATCCCTTCTATCTGGAATGTATTATAATTATATTACATTATTTGGAAGTGATAAAATTTCCAAATGATTTTCTCATTATTTTTTTACTGTATTTAATCCATCAAATACTGTGTCACATTTATTTATTTAAATTTATTCACTATGCATAGAAAATTTTTTTTTTTTTCATAAACTTTACAATCTTAGCAGTAATTTAAGTCCTGGTACTGATATTATTTCAAATATTTTTTTTATTAAATTTAAATTTGTTCTAGCAGTTGTATTATTATATTTATTTAATTTATTACTAAAATCTGCTATTATTCCCATTAATGGAAAATTAGTTATGTTCCTCCGGTCTTTAAAGGTGAAGATCATTTTATTATTATAAACTACTGTCCTATCTCTAATATGTCTATCTTTCCAACAATTTTCGAAAATATTCTTATTAAAAGATTATCTTTTTTATTCCACCAATATTATTATCCATGAATAACATGTTTTTTTTCCCGTTAATAAACCTATTATTATTCCAAAAATACATATTTGACGTTTATATTCTCAGGTTGATGTTATTTGCACAAATTTTTCTTAGGAATTCAATCAAATATATCTCAAAATTCTTGCGGCGAAATTATATAATTTAGGTTTTCGTGATTATTTTTATTCTTGGATAGTCTCTTTTATATCGGGTGGGAAACAATATGTTAAATTTAAATATTTCTAATTACCAGTAAATGATTCAAGTTCGGGATTCCACAAAATCTCATTTAGCTACCCTTTTATTTAATATATTTATATATATATAAATTATATAAAGATTATTAACTCTGACTTTCTACTTTTTGTTGATGATTTAAAAATATTCCAAATTATTAACTCTCCTAATGATGATAAATTTTCTTAGAATGATCTTAATCGACTACTTAATGATTGTTGCGTTTGTAATAAATTATATTTTAATTTTGGGAAATTTAAAACTAGGAAATATTCAAAAAAGCACTAATCTCAAATTCATAATTATTAGTTAAATTATACTGATTTGATTAGTTTCTCATAAAAAGTATCTTGGTATAAACCCTAAGTTTTCTTTATCATTCGACGATCACTATGCATATGTTAAATAAATCTGCTTCAATAATAAGTCTCATAAGTATAATCTGTTTTGATTTCAATAATCCAATAGCTCTAAAATCTTTTCATTGTTCACTATTTCGCTTGATACTTGATTTTAATTCTATTGTTTGGTTACCTTATACCTTATATATTAGAAATTATTAAAACAAGGAGAATTAGACTTGATATTTGTTCTACTTTTAAATTATTTTATGGTATCATCAATTGCTCAGAATTACTAGATACATTTAATTTCTTGGTAAGAAATGGTTTTAGTTCCTCCGTAATAGGCAATCTACTACATTTTATGTGCAATTTCATCGAACAAATCATGTTCGAGAGGACCCTATAGCTAGATTAATGAGCCTTGTGAACAGGTATAATGTAGATTTATTCTTTTCTAACTATACGATTATTATTATGTATTCTATTGGGTATTTTAAATTTATAATAAAAAAATAAATAAATTATATTAATTTATGAGGATTAGGTAATCATTTAATAATTTTTTTATTCTTTTATTATTTAAACTTTAAGTTTCTTAAATTGAGTGTAAACATAAATATAATTAATACAACATACACAAACAGTTTATAGGAAACAAACGTTGAAGAGGTATCTAGTAGAAAACAGCGGTTTGGAACGATAAAATAGTGATCTTCCAATTTTTGTTGAATTGAGCAGCCACCCGAACTTAAATAGAACAGATGAATTTAATTGAATATAGATGCGTAACGCCTCAAAGCACAAAATGAAGAACTTATTGTTTTGATATTGTTGTATTGATATTTTAAATTTACAACCAATGTAAAATTGCTCTCGAAAAAACAGTTTTGAGTTAAAGAGTATGGATAGATAATTTTATGTTTCTAAAGATGATAGATACAGAATAGTAAAACCAACAATTTTTAAGGTTTTTTGAACTTTTAATTTTTAAAATTTTATAAAAAAAAAACATCTAAAATTTGGGAGAATTGAAAATTTCAATAGCCCAACAATACAGGTATATATTTTATAAATTTATTTCAAAACTATAAAATATCTATTAACTGCTTATAAAACTATTCAGTAAATGTTTCGAATCGATATACGATTAATATTTTTATAATAACAACTAAATAAATCGAAATTCGTTGAAATGCAAATATCGTCAACATATTTGTGGGAGCATCAAAAGCCCAAAACTATATTGGGCCGACTTGTTCACCTGTTATTTTATTTGATTTGTGCTAATAGTAGGGTAAGAATATAAATAAATAAATAAAATTTATATAATACAAAACGATGTATAATAAATAATTTAAAAATAATCTAAGCCTATGACAGCACAAATAAACAAATATGTAAAATAATATAATAAAATAATGTGCAACTCTATGACACGTCATGACGGCTAGGTAATATAAAACAAATAGGTATAACGGCTCAATTAATACAAAATAAATGCCTATGATGGCTCAATTAATTCTCACTTAAGTGACTGTGTCAAGTGACGGATTTTATACCACCGTGACCCACATCGGCGTATATACAACAACAATAAAATTCAGTAAAAACGTATGATTCCACGAGTGTGTGTCTACCTAGCCACAGTCACTGATGAACAATTTTTCGTCACAGGAATCGAAAACAACAATATGAATGTGTCGAGAGGATAACTGAAAATGAATTGTCAAGTAACATTCCAAAATGTTGAATATAATTATTATATACATTTGTTATTCAAAATTACAATGGAATATATCTTATGGTATGTCACAAATAAATGTCTCTTACAAATAACAGAACATTTAACGATAAACTCGTATTATGAGCAAAGGCAGAAATTACTAACGGAAAATTTTTAATTAACAGTAAGTAGCAAATAAATGCCTGATACAACTAACGGAATATTTTGAATTAAATAAAAACCATTGTATCAGGTTTATACATTTTATGAGAATTATAAAAATGCCATTTTAGCGTAAACCATTTAATTTTCTAAGGCTTATATAACATCGTTACCACTATTCAGTAAATTATTTTTTTGGCAACAAAGAAAAACTCGTATGGAATTATATTACTTGTAGTATAAAAGTTGAAAGTTTTAAGAATTTTTAGTTGCATAAATGTAGTAGATTTTCGTTATTTTTATTTTTTTGTCAATATCTATTGTTCAAATAATCATAACTTTTTTGATATCAAGCTAATTTTTTTTTCATTTTTAGCGGAAGATAAATGATTCAAAGACCAATTCAATGCAATGTACAAATCAGACAATATTTCTTCTTGTGAAATCTCTAATAATTGTGATAGTCATAGCAATCCTCTTAGTCAAAATTTTGTGTACAGATACAAATAAACGTTAATAAAAATAAATCTCTAAAATACGGAAGTTATATCATGTTTTTATCTTCATTTTTTCATATTTTATGTGTTTGTTTGAAAAATATTAACTATAAATCTTACACTATGGTTAACGATAGAAAATGTTCGCAATTTCGTATAATTTTATGAAATATTTTTATGAATGTTTCAAGTTTTTCGTATAGTTTAGAAAAATTTACAAATATTAAAAACAAAAACAGCATTTATAAAATATTGATTTTTGTCGAGATCAAATTTGATTCTTCTTCGGGATTCAAAAATTAAAATTAAAATTAAACTTGTTTTACATGATTTATCTTAATATTTATTTAGATATATTCTCAGCTAATACTTTGGGTCCTCATAATGACAGTTGCAGATGATGGTTGTAGTACTGGGATTAATTTTAACGAATTTTGAATGGTAGTTATCACATTACAGAATAAACGAATGCAATGTAACAATGAAATTGATATGTCATGATGAAATACATGAGTATAATATAATATAGCAATGCAATTTACCTGCGTATTGAGTCCTATGTAGATAATTGGATTCCAGCATATGCTCGACTTGGCGCACAAAGCTGGTATTAAACTGACGGCCGGACTGATTTGAATACCACCAAATGCAACCAAAAGAGACAGCACGGAATACGGTATCCACGCAGTTAAAAAGGCCAATATCATCACGGCCACCATTATCGCTACCCTGCATTCCGCTTTGGTTGCTTGCCCGATGATTTTTTCAGCAGCTCTCTATATCAAAAGAAATGCATAAATTACAGTAAATAGCAACAACTAAAAACGTCAGAAATATTTCATTTTTTATTAGTAAACCTAACTTTCTGAATTAATTAATTTAACCACGTTCATGAAGTTAGCCCCACTAAGTTGGCCGATAAACTCAAAATTTATAGCAATATTTTGCAAATTTACTTATAGGATTTGAAAATCACTCGGCAATATAATTTTTTTGATTGGGGGGCTATATTTATGTAGTTAGTTGATCGATTTAATTGGAATCAATGGCAATATTTTTCAAATTAATAACAAATTAATGCAAATTGGTTTTTACGATTTTCGTTTGACCTACGAGAACTCTTTGATACAAAATGTATTCAATTACATTTTTTTTAAGATATTTTTGGTGTTTTTTACCTGGCACTATTACATTTAAGAAGTGGTTATTGGTAAAAAAGTATATTTTATAATCATCTTTGAATATATTATGCTTATGTCGTTGTTTCATTTGAATTTTAAAAATGAATTTAAATGGCTAGGTTGTTGAAAAATTTGAGTTCATGAATATGAAATTAAATTACGGATGGTTATACTTTGTCTAGAATCAACTATAACCGTACATAATGTACATTGTATTGTTGTTAGTAAAATTATTTTTCTTATTGATAATATTTTTGGCTAGGTAGTGAATAAGCATTACCACTCTCTTAAATTATCTTTGAATACAGGAATATTACAGGATAGAGTTTTACACAAAAAGTGTTTTTATTTCTTCAAAAGTTTTTGTAGCCTAAATAAAAACTAGACTTGTAGAATGTAAGAAATAAAACAGTTGCATGACAAATAAAATATTATTTGTCAAAATATGACAAAGGTTTCGATTTATATTTCCTTATTTAAACAATTCATTTAATAAATGAGTTTTTTAAAAAAATGATTAGTTAATATCAAAAAATGTATGTAATAAAACGTGTAATAATATTACATATTAATTACGGTTATACTGGTATTATAATCGTAATTAATATTAAAACAAAGTTATAAATAATATTAATAACAAAAGTTTTGATGTATAAGGTAAGAGGAAATTTAAATTTTATTTGCAAAACGTGTGCTTTGTATTTTCGAAAAAAGACCATTAACACCATAGTTCCAGAATTAATTGATACAATATTATGGTCTTTATCACGTACACCACTATCGTGGACTCGCTCTTGCTCTCTACCTAGCCACAACCCAGGTAACGACAACACCGACGCGGCAAACTCAATAGTTTATATTCAGGCACTAGAGGCACGTATCTACCATAGGCGCGACTACAGGGGCATAATAAGATTTTTGACACCCCCGAGTTCAAATATAACACTCCTGTTTTTTTTTTCAGATCTGTATAATCTATAGTAACTACAGTTAAATGCTATTTAGTTTTATTTTCAGCAATTTCAGCACCCCCAATATTTGGGCTCTAGTTGCACCCATAGTGCCTACAGAAGTAAATTTTGAGGGGCGGAAATTTTTAAAGATAATAAGTTTTACGGTATTACATATTATTATATTTATATACGTTTTAGGTTTTCTGATATTGTAAAATATGTTACATATACTCCTATATGAAAAGATAATTGACAATAGCTTACCCCATCAATAGTTATCTACAGACGCGTGCACACGGGGGTGTTTTGGGTATTCAAACGTCCCGTGAAATATTTGGTTTTTTGTATGATTATTTACTTATATAATTGTAATGTTAGTTATTGATATACTTTAATGAACAGGTATAATATTACTTGTGTTTGTAAAAAACCAGATGAACCAAAATATCAAGTTAAAAATGTAATATAATTTGAAAAAAAAATTAAAATACTTAAAAAGGATGTATAAATAAAATAAAGCTATACATTTTGTATAATGACGTGAGCACCACATAATTATAAAATATACACAGATACATGCAATACCTAAGCTATACATGAAGGAACAATTACTGCGAATAAGGGTATTATAAATAATGACGTATATCTTATATTTTGTTATCGACATTATATAGTAACGAGAAATATGAACTTATTTTAAAATCGTGGGTACCTTATGTTACCTATACATTTCCAACTTCAAGTAAATGGAATTTAAAGTTTTGAGATTCTCAGTTGCGGTATTTTCCTTGTTGACGTACTTAGCAATTGAGAACATATTTTCCCGTAGATTTAACATTTTATTCTCTCAAAAAAAATGCAGTTTAAGAAAATCACGAAAAAATCTTTTGTAAAGATTTCGTTTTGCAATTGGAAAAAAGCCCTTATAAAATGAATATACCATAAAAATAACGTATGCTACAAGGACGCTGTAGAAGATACACACAATGTCCGTCTGATTTTTAAAAACAAAAGAAACGATGTGATCATTGAAATTACCAAGGTAGGAAACGACAGCAATTGAAAAATTGAAGAAAACTAACTCCTATCATTAGAGTAATTTCACTGTGTGGCAGACAATGACTTGCAATGATAGGTAACCATGACTATGGTCAACTATCAATGAAAGTTTCCAAAGAAAGCGATATAAAACGAGAATTTCGTATAATTATTAAAAAAATAAAAGTTCTACTATTCAGTAACTGATAACTTTTTTTTCCATACGTCCCCGATTATGAATATAGCTATTTTTACAATTTCTTGTCGCCGTCTTTAAATATATATATATATATATATATATAAGATTCAGGTATGTTTAGGAAAGAAATTGTTATTAATGATTTCAATAAATAAAATATCTAGCAATAAACAATTATTCTGAATTCAGTCTCTGTTCACATTGCCATAAATATAAATCTTTTATACGCAAATCATTTTCATTTTATTTTATTAACTAAATCATTGTTATTTATTTATTTTTTTACCATCCTACTTTTTTTTTTGTTAAGTTGAGTAGAAAACGGTTAAGCGGTGACCAATATAAAAAAGTTGCCAAACCGAAGAATGATCATTTGCAAAATGTTTTGAATCAAACAAAAATTGACTGATTTTATTGAAAATAAAGCTTCTTCAACTTTTTGTAGTAGTAACAGTTCTTTAGTGACTACTAATAATGGACATAAGTGACTAATTCAAACCGACTAAGTAGTGCTGATTGAGTAACTCTACGTGGTATAACTAATCGTTTAATAATTGAATTTTAAAGATTTAATCGACGCTTTTGCTACATTGACATTGACCGACATAATTAATAATTTCACATTCAAGTTTGAAAAATGTATATTATTTATTTTATGTAGTTATTAATTACGAGTATTAATGAAAATATTTGAAGCCATAAGAAATTATGTTTTATTATTTAAACAATATTTGTTACATAATAAATGTATATTTTATAGTAAATAAATTATAACTTAGTCTAATAATTTAGTTATTGATGACGGTAATTTTTCACAGGCTTACAAGCGGGAAGTATGTAATTATCCCCTGGGAAAACTCCCGTCTACATCGTCGCCGAGGAGAGGAGTTACCAAAACCGGTGACAACATACCTCTGGGTCATTATTCCACCACAGTAAACGTACGATACTACTCCATCTTGACCGGCAGCTATCGAGGATATTAGGGCATCTTGTTAAATTGATTTCCCGAAAGGAATTATCCCTGGTAAGAGTAGTAAGAGTAAGTAAGAGTTTTTTTTTTCTCGCTGATACTACCTCGAATTTGCTATAGTCCATAATAAATTTTTGGTGTGTTTAATATTTTTGGTTTAACGTACTCGTAATACACATTTTCGTCAAAAATATAATCATAAAAAATAAATTATGATAAATAATAACGAGTATGGAAATATGCGTATCCAGAAAAAATAGCAATGAGACATCGGTTGGGTTGTTTTAGTTCTCTAGCCATTTATCACCCATCCATCGTAAAGCACGGTTTACAATTGTCAGATTTAGCTCATTTGATCTTAATTTTTTAATACTCGCAGTAGCATACTTTGAGCGCCCAAGCTCATTACATTTAGCAACCCATTTTCGAATCCAACATTTCTTTTTACCTTTTTTATCTTTAGAATTTAAAATTTGATTCTTATATTCAAGAACTAAAAGCCCACAAACAGAAATAACATCGTCTGCTACTTTTGACTCTATTTCGCATACCGAATATCACTGATAATGTATACAATAACGTCAGGATTTGTATAAATGACACTTGGATTCGAGTAACACGGACGTGGCTCGAATATAAAATCTGACAAGTAAAACCGCGCTTAACTCTATCTTTCCGTGTCAACCCGCCGATAGTAGACCGACATACGTGAACCGCGGCCTCGAGCACCACACGTGCAACGCGGATCATCGTTATAAATATCCACAATAAACGGTAAATGACCGCATAAAGGCTATTTTGGCAAAATTCTCTACGATTTTTGGTATTCGGTTAACATACACCAGTGACCGTCAACATTCATCGACTACGGTACAGAACATATTTGTGTACAGATGTTGTAAAAAGTACAAGTATAATATATGTATATTTTATTATATAATCTCTATATGCAAATGTAATTATTTGTAACAACTTACCTTTCTCACAGTAATTACGAGGTTTACATACGAATATATAATCACGGTTAATGGTATGAATAATCCAAACACAAATATGTATATGACATAATTGCTGTGCTCACCACTCTCCCAATCTATCGAACAGCTAGAAACAATTTTTTTTTTTTCATATTAATTAATGAAATAATGTTTTTGTTCCTACGACAAAACTAACGCTAAGAAATAAAATATATTACAATTAAAACAAATATTTAAAATTAGTATCAATAATAATTGTTTAGCAATTTTTTTTTTTTTTTTTAATTGAATTTGAATTGAAGGACGTTTAAAAAAGTTTTTAAAACAATTTATTTTACGGACAAATATAGAAATTTCTTATATTTATAATTTATTGGCCTGATAACTTATGAAATATTTATAGTGACATATTTCCATAAATACCCGATGATTAACAAAATACAGGAACAAATTTGGTCTGAAGTACATACATATAATTTATAATAAATAAAGTGATTCCGCACAGGAAATGTATTCAAATTGTTCACGATAAAGAGATGTACCTATAGATCAAATAAATTGCTAATAGAAGAATATAAATACTTCATGTTGTGAAAATGGCTCTATCGACTTAATTATAAATTTTACTAAAGATTGAATATTTATGCATATTTGTATCGAAATTTTTATGTTTTTATTAGAGAACGGATTTTTTTGAAATAAATATGTTAATTTTCTTTTAAATATTTTGGAACACGAGTCAATAAATATTTTTAAATATTTTACAAATAAATATAAATGTTTTGTATTATTGGTGTTAATTGTGGAATTTCGGTTCTTATTTTAGTATTTTATGATTTACGACGCAGATACAATAAGGTATCATTCTATATATATCTAAATAGTAGGAACAAATTTCAGTATCTACTCAGTTACATTCAGTTGTCTTTTTAATCATCTTGTTTTCGTGTCGTGGTTGTATGTGTAATTTGAATTCGTTAGTTTACGTAGTAAATTTTACGTTGGTTTATACATATTTCATATTATACTTTTGGAAGTGATGGACGAATTTGTATATTGTCAATCTGGTGAAAAATTAGTATCTATTGACCAACATGGTCGTATTAGTTAGCACGTCAATACTGGTAAGACAATAGGAAAAAAATATATAAATTTCAACAAAATTCTGTCTACATAATCTGTATTTAATATTAGTAAGAATATTTTTAATAATGGTTTGTGTCATGTACTAACACGTTTAGACATCACTGTTAATGTTTAATGAAAGAATTCTGCATTTAAAGATTTTATGCAGTGGTGTAGTTATAGTTTAAACCCAGGGGCCCAATCATATTGTTGCACCCCTCAAGAAAATACACTTTTTAGGTAAATAGTTAGATGTTATATGACTTATATAAAAAAATATTAAATAATATACTACTAAAGAAAGTATTGCCATTGCGTACAGATAAAACGGTAAAAACAAAAATTGAAACTGTTTTAAAGAAAAATGAGGGTTACAAACCAATGGTTAAAATGTCCAAAATTTTATTTGGAGACGAAGAAAGACTTGAAGGTGTTTACTCAAAAAATCACCCTTATTTTAAATTTTAAATTTTAAATTTTAAATTATATGTTGTTTTAAAATCACGAAGACTATTTGGATGAAGCAAAATAAATATTTTTAAAGTATATTATGTTCAATATATTTTTTACGTTACATTAATTTAATTTTAAAATTTGAATATTTCAAAAGTTTTAAATTAATATTAATTAATATTAATAAAACAATATATAATTAAATATTTTTAATTTTATACTAAATTAAAATCCGTTTCTTAATTATTATGAGTCTATCATAATTAGGGGTGGATCGATTTAGAAAAAATACATGGTATCGAACGATATTGGTGGTATCGATTTTATCAAGTATTAGTTTTTTATCAAAACAAAATATCTAAACAGATATCATAACAAAAAAAGAACCACCAGCATAAAATATTTATACCAGTTATACCACAAGATCGTGGTTTCGGTTTATCCGAATTGATATCGGCTTATGGTACCAGTTCATGATCTCTGTCAAAAAAGATTTTTTTATACATCTGGTATTCGGTTATATATGGGTTACGTGTATCGGAAAATCGGATATCCATTAAAAGTGGTGTCGATTTGTCCTTAATTATAATATCATAATTATTAGCCATTTAATATTAATATTTGTCCTTTTTAAGTCTCACCTGATGTCAGCCGATTCGTTAACGTAACGATTCCATCCAAACAACGGAGGTACTGTTACGGCGAAAGCGTAAATCCAGATTCCACCAACTGCGTATAGTGCAGTCTCTTTAGTTAACCTTTTACTACTGAACGGATACCGTATCATTAGGTATCTATCATACGCTAGCACGGTTAAAGTCGTAATTGAAGCTATTCCTGTAATCAATAGTTCAAAAATTGTACTAAAAGTAGTTAATTTTTGAGTCTCAACAGTTTAAGTTAGTATAATTTTTATAACTTTCGATCAAAAATAATAAGTTATTATCGTAAAACTACAATACTTGGACAAATGAAACATTTTTATGAAGTGATCGCTTTCTCTACATCCAAGCTACATCTTAAAAAATGTAAATTATTTCGTTTTCAAAGAGTTAACATAGTCTAAAGTTTCTGATAAAGTGTTTAAAAATAAAGAAAAAATAATAATATTAATTTAATATATTTGAATAAAAACAAACTTATAAACATTTTAGCATAAAAAACGAGTTTTTTGGAATCGTTTTACAAATCTTACAATTGTCGCGTTAAAATCCTATAATGTTCATGTTCAAATTAAGAACAATAATGTTTATTTTATTCTGTTGAGGTAAGTGTAATAAAAAATAAAACGATTGATCACTAGTAGAATACTTGACCCCTTTTCCCAAAGTTAACAGTCATTAAGTATATAAGTATCCGCATTGTACACATTTAAACACTTTTACATTTAAACAAAGAAAACAACACATTCTCAACATTTCTAGAAAATGGATTTCATTTAAGCTGCGCAACTAGCTCAAGTATTTTGAAGTTATTGAATCTCCTTTTAAATTCGAAACATAAATATTGAATTATATTTATGTGATTTGTAGGATTATAAATATTTTCAGAATAATTAATTATTGTTTCTTGAAGCGTAGGGAAATACTAGACATCACCATTTTTCATTTTATTTTCCCAATATGCTAATTCACTAAAAAACGAACATCTGATATATTAATAATTTCCCTTTTAACTCTAAATATAGGAAATTAATTTCTTCAGTAATATCAATTAAAAATGCAAAATCTTCAAGCCATTTTATATCCTCTTATTCTTCATAAATAATATTAATATTTGGTAAAAAATAAGCTGAATTTTATATATTATCACCAATGGATATGAATGTTGATTCTGTCGTTCATCATATTGCATTGTCAAAACCATATGCTTACATGCCTCTAATTTCAGAGAAATTTTCAGTTGAAGATCAAATATATCATTGGGCTATTCAATTTAATATTCTTCATAATGCAATCAATGACTGTACAATTGTTAAGAGAAAATTATTCCATGATTCTAATGGTAATCGGAAGTTAGGTACTATACTCGTCATTTTCATTTATTATCTCTACCAAAATAATATACCACATAAATAATACATTTAATTTACCCTTCTATAACCGCCTTTTAAACCACAGAAACCCACTCTGCGCGATATTTCTTCTTTGAAATCTTCTCAGACGGCTAAAGAGCAAATGGTGTAGAAGCCTACTGACAAATTAATTCAATTTTAATACTCATATTTTTTTTTTATTGTAGTACCTCCACTGGGAGGCTTCAGTGCTCTGTTGTCTTCATCTATTATTTTTTTAATTTATTTTTTTATATACTATCTCTTACTCCCTTAATTGTTCTTATTGTTCTTTTTTGTAACAGATTGAATAAAACATTTAAAAAAAAATATATATATCCTTAAAGTTAATATAATTTCTGTTAAAGAAGTCTGATAAAAAGTAATGTTTCAGACAAATGATGTCTTCATATGACAACAACAATTATTTAAAATCTTATCATTTTTTTGTATTAATCAATAAATCACATGTGTGTTTAATATTACATAATTTCTATTTTTTAGATTTTTAAAATTATGTAATTAATGCCTTAAATTATATGAAATATAATATTAGTGGCTTAATCAAAGTAAACATGATTAGTTGTTCTAACATTGAATTATTAATGGAACATGCAAGTAAGTCAACAAAATTAAAAATAAAATTATGCCTTCACATGAAAACATTTTGGTAATATTATATTATATTTTTATTCCTGTTGATAGGTTTGCGATAGTTGTAATTTTAATTGTAATCTTATAAAAAATGGAACATAATTTCTAGGGTTAAATGTTGGAACATTACGTGTTAATATGGTTCCTAGTAAATCGGGATCTTTAATAATATTATTTAATAAACAAATTTGACATCTAAGTATTTTCTTCTTTTAACTAAAGATCTAGTTTTGTTCTTGATCAAAATCTATTCAACTGAATTATTAAATTGATAATTTAAATTTCGTAAAAAATGATTTTGATATTTTTAAATATTGTTAATTATATATGATTAAAATGGATTCCATAAATAGAAATATAAAGTATTGAATATATATAATAAAATATAAAATTGAAAGAACCAATGCATAGCAAAATGTTTTTCAATAGAGAAGGACATTAAATTCAAGACAATTTCTAAATATAAATTCTGATATTCGCATATCTTATGCAAATATCTATTTTTAGATAGAAATAGATAAATTTACAAATAGAAAATACTGGTATTGAATGGTAATGAATTCAAATCTAACGTCATTAAAAAATATTACAAATAATAAAAGGGCTGGATGTACTCTCTGGGGTACACCCGAATGAATATCAAACTTTTCAGAAATATTATTACCAATTATGACTTGCTGTTTTCTATTTCGGAGATGAGACACAAACCAAGAGCGAAGTGGATCAACCTACATTTCGTAGCTTGATTATTAATTAATGTATATTAAATAAATCAAACGTATTTTTATGATCAGTGTAAATGGCATCAATTTGAAAACCAATCTCAACAGATTCCAAAATGTTTGTATAGAAGTGTAAAATGTTGATCAAGGTTGATTTTTTCTGAAAAAATTAGTATTGCTCATCAATTCCAATTTTATTAGATGTTTTAAACATTATAGGTTCTAATTAACATTTAAAAAGTTTAGGAAAGACACTAAATTTTAAAATAGTAAATTTTTAACGAATATCAAGTTGTTGATGACATAAAAAAATTTGTATGTAAAAAAATTCTCGTGTATAACTGTTCAATATTTTATTATTTTACTTTCATAATCAATATATTATTATACTGTTATTAATTGTGATCAAATATTTATGTGTTCCATATGAAGGACATTGTGACTGTAGAATTTGTTCATCGCACTATTATTTAGTAATTATGGATTTGTAGAAAAATAACTTATATCTGATCTACTAAGAACAATCTAATATAATCATGACTAAATATATAACTACGATACAAATATATTATACCTAGTTTTAGTTTATTATCGAAATACTGAGGGACGAGAGGGGATGACGCTACGGGATACGAGCGATTCGTTTCCAATAATTTATTTTTACGAAAAAATTAAAAAAACTAAAGTCAATAACGTTTACGGGTATAACAAACATCAATATCTTGATTGGCACAAAACCAAAATAATAAATAACAAAACGCAAACGCGAGAACGTTACCAGTACATAAAATAAGAGAATTTTTGGTGGACGAGACGTAAAAGTGGTGTCGTGTCAGAACACAAGATAGTGACTGGCGCTGTAAGGTGAAACGTAGCCAGAAACGAAAATCGGGTGACGACGAAAGTTTTTGCATACGTCGCGGACAACGGTCAAAAAGCGTGGCGAGCGCGGGCAAGATTACCAATCACGATACCAAGTCACTTCAGTGAGGAATGATTGTGGTGGCGGCCCACCACAAGATATTCAACATATATATTTAATGTAATAATCATGTGACTTATGTGAATTGAGAGTTGCAACTTTTGAAAACACAATTTTTTCGTAAACAATATTAAATTTAAGCTCAATATATTAAATAACTAACAGAATAAATTCTAAATTTTCTTGTATTGTTATATTTAAAAAAGGCTTATAGAAATCATAATATATCTGTAAAAACTGTTTTAGTCTTACTTGATCATAAGTTATCAGACTTTGATGGAATTTCTTGTGTGTCGATCAACATTTTAATAAGTAATTTTTGTAATAAAAATAATTGTTTAACGATAATTTTGTTAGTGTTAGAGATGGACAGTAAATTCGAAGTAATCATGCAACTTAAAAGTGTATACCTACGAATATATGAATTGGTTTTATGGTATTAGGTACTGGATAAAAATCTGAGCAACATTTTGAAAAAATTATTGATATAGATGTAATGTAATGTATAGCTGATCAGCTTAAGCATATTTTATTTTTACAAATTTAATCATAAGTTACTCATTAGTACATACATTGATAGATTATTCTGAAAACACTTGAAATAGTGTATGGTACGACTACTAAGGATGGGCAAAATTATTTGAACATCGATATTCGATGTATCGATACATCGATTTTTAAAATATCGATGTATTCGATGTATCGGTGAAAAACCATCGATGTTTAAGAAAATCGAAGTTTAAAAACATTGAAAAATTTTTTTTCCCCTCTAGAGCTGCCATCTGTTGCACACCTTATTATCTGTACAGTGTACTATTTTCTTGATTAAATAATAAATTAAAGAGTTAAAATACTATTGTTTATTTTATATTTTTTAAAAACATATTAAATACTTATAATCAGGTCTCGCAAGTTCATGTACTTGCATGTTTTCTTTGTTACATCAAAAAATATGCTAATTAAGATAAAAATCCGTTTCATAAAAATGGTAATAAAAATCTAAAGTTTAAAAGAGCATGTTTTTGCATGTTTTGTGCGTATTGGTATATTTAGCATATAGTTGATATTTTTTTTGAGTTATTAAAGCATACTATTTTATGTAAATTCAGCGAAATCGATTTTTGTGGAAGTCGAAAAAAAAATTAGATCAATAAATGTTTAAATTCTTTATTATTTACTTTTCCAAAATTGTTTATGAAATCCGTCCAATAACAAACATTTTATGATTTGATGAAATACTAGTATAAATATATGCACCATTTAGAGCGAAATACAAGAAGTAGAGAAAAAGCAACCACTCTTCATAAAACTTTATCTTAAGAGCTTATATATTAAAAAGTTCGATTTTAATGAAGGACATTTTTAACAATTAATTTCGATTGTTTTCTCCATATTCCTATACCAGCATAGTTATTTTAAATTAATTTTATTTCATAGTAAAAAATAAATATAATTTTTCACATGTTTAATATGTTATGATCATGTGATTCAAAACATTTTATTTGTTAAAATAATATACTTCTATAAAATTAAAAAAATATTAAAATAACATTTTACTAATATTAATATTAATATTACATTGATGTTAATAATTTAAATTATAAACAATGTTAAAATCGTGATTAAAAAACTTTGTAAGAATGTTACATTAAAATTTAAAAATCTGTAATTACCATTCTAGAAACTTAATTTTTTAATATTATAATTTTTTTTAATCATTATTTTAAAGTTTTTAAAATATTGCTGTGTGATTCTCGTCATTTTAAGAGTAACTTTTTACAATGTAAATAATTCATGATAACGGTTCTCACACTTTTACATTATACCTAATGGATATGTTAAAAATCAACAACACTAAATACATTATACGAATAATTACATAATTACCTAATAGTGCCATGAAGAATCCATAGATAACGCAAATGGTCTCACCAAATATCCAACCTTTGGTGATGGCAGCAGCCAAGGTAACTGGATTTCCCAAAACTGATACAGCAAAGTCAGACGATGCTAAATTAAATATGATCATGTTTTGAGGGGTCCATAGCTAAGGAAAAGAAAAATGTTTAAACTAAACAAGCCATATGAAATAGAATAATATTACATTAATATTAATATACATTTTTAAAGTTGTATAAACTTAAATAATTGTGCCGAATATTAAAATTTGATTATGCCCGCAACTTATATTAATATAATTATATTTTAGTTATTGGATAATAAATTTTTGTTATATTAGAATCGTCATAGAATTTATTATTAAAATAAATCGCTTTTTTTAGTAAAGCATTATTGGTACACTGATTTTATAATTAACTGAAAATTGTATTTACTCGTGGATCCCTAAGCATAATGAAGATGACACATGCATTGAATAGACATCCCACTATTCCGATAAGGCTCAATACGGTGGCAGCGCCCAGGTAGGTGGCATCTGAAATGGACTGATGTTGCAAAGGTTCTTCGTTCATAAGGACTCATCATAAGACCACATTGAATGCTGATCATCAAAGAGTTTCATTTTTAAAAACATCTGCAAAATAACATGAAAAAAAATTATGCTGTATCAAGTTTCAAACAATTGACAGCAGCAGGATTGTATAAAAACTAAAAAGGTTTTTATTTTATGTACTTTTTTTTGTATTTTATTGATAATTTTTTAACACCATATTCACTTTGTGGATTTAATAAAGAGACCTCCAAGCTTTTATTCTACCATGTTATAGTTGATAAGAATATTATAAGGTTTTATTCAACCCTTTTAGTCATATTGTCCCATATATAGGACATACAATTTAGTAGCCGATTACATTAAATTTCGTCCATTAATATGTAATATTTTTATCTTATTTTGTTCCTAAACATAAGTATTGTCAGTTCTGCAAGAATTTTTTTTTTTTTGTTGATAGATTTGTGATAATTGATTTTAAGTGTAATCTTACTATAGACTAGTATATTCCTTTTTTTTATGTACTTTTTTTTTAGTATACCAGGTATTGAACTCCAACATTACTTAACTCAACCCGGTGCAATATATACCCGAAAATTAATACGGTAAATGGAATTAAGTCATATTTCAGGATTTAGGCAGAGCCAACTTTAGGCAAGGGCCAGCGGGGCCTTTGCCTTGGGCTTCACACTTAAAATGACAGTTTAAATAATAGATTGTTTCATACATTATATTATTTCACATGTATATATTTGTATATAGAGTAATTCTGAAAAGACAGTAACGCACGAAAAAATATTAAATAGTATATTTTTATTACATATTATTTTTAATATTACATTATAGATATTTAAAAACAAATTAAAAAAAATATTTGCAAATCGAACTTGTACATTTAGAGGACCCGTACGTGGTGGTCTTCCCAATTATCAATTTATAAGCTTAACGCCTTATCAATGAGGCTTCATATTTTACTCAATTTGAATTTTCTTAGTTGATGTATTTATTGTCAGAAATGTACCTGTATTTCAACTTTTTGTGGCCCAGGACTAATTCTCTTTGCTGCCCCTATCTATTCAATATTAGTCTATTGCAGCATTAGTTATTAAAATATAGATAAGTATATAATTTCAAATAAAAATCAGTAAACATATTACGTAAACAATTTCCTTTGTAAAAAAAAAAAAAAAATTAAAAAATTAAGTAATATTAAATGAAGTATCCGAAATATTTATGATTATAACTTTGGTCACGAAAAAATTAAAATTTAGAAAAATTGAATAAAATAAATTAGATATTTAGACATTTTTACGGTGGGATCTTATACATGCAAATTCATTAGTTATATTCTCATAATTAATGTATATTAAAATTTAATTTTTAATGTTAAAAATAGTAAAATTGTTTAAATAATCCTTTGTTAATCGTGACCGCGAGTAATTTTTGATTATTTTCAATGTTAAGAAAGATATATCAGCAGAACCGTTTTAGGCTGGATGGTCCCAAAAAAATATTGAAATTATGTCTATGTAAAGAAATATACCACATATTATTTTCCTTATACAACATACTGATTTCCAATACTGTACATGAAATTTGTTGAATATTTAAAAGGTAGTTACAGAAATGTTGACATTAATTAAAAAATCTATTCTATATAAAATAAATTTGAATCTAATAATTTTTCTGACAAAACTACTTTTGTCTGAAGTCTAGAAACTGCACAATCTGTATCAAACATTGCGAGTGTTTTGAATGTTTTTACAATAATAAATTGCAACATTTATCCAAGTTCCTCAACTGGTGATAATCGATAGAGGAGGTAAACATACTTTTTGCATTACTTTTCAAAATATTTCGATACGACTTTGACATTTTAAAATTATTTTTTTTATACTAATTAGTTAATAAACTCTTGAAGAAATACGTCTTACTTCTTCTGTTACATGATAAAGACCGAGTGCCAAATAAGTGACATGTATTGTTTTATCATAAAACTCTTTTATAACACTATTTGCTTTAATCATATGTGGTGTAGCATCGCTTAAAAAAAGTAATACATTTTCATGTTTTATGCTATTGGGCCACAAAAGATGAAAAGTTTTATCAAATTATTTAGAAATACTAAAACAATTGGCCTAATCTAATATATTTCAAAACTTAATAAACCTACTTTTCCAAGCTTATCCGCATCATATGAACCAATAATCACGTTCCTATGTAGCGACGTTCCAGTCTGTTGTTTCTTCTGTGGCTATCCATATTTTCTTGTCTTGAAACGTAGTTTTTATTTTTCATAGAGTATCTTCAGAGTAATTTTTAAATAATTTTTTCTCAGACTAAATTTATCAGGAATGGCTTCATATGTATATTTCTCTAAAAATGATTTAAATTCGAAATTATTAATTTTTTTTAATATAATATTAACGGACAGTAATGCTTTACATAAAACAAAATGTAATGACGATTTTTTGGTAGTTGATATACACTGCGTGATTAGCCATTACGAAAATTCCTTTTTATCAGAATATTGTTTTACAAAACTAATATGTCTATATTTATTAAGATATTGCATTGCAGAATATCGTATTTCGCTACTAATTTTTATCCCACGTGGTTTACAAAACAAATTTTTTTCATAGGTTGAAAAAAAATGTTCACCCAATTCGGAAACGAATTACCGCATTCGAGCTACTAAAAAAAAAAAAAATGTTTCTTTAGGTATATTAAACAAAAGTTGATATAAAATACAAACATTCAATTACTCCCATAATAAGGAAGCACAACGTAAGCACTCGTGAAGGTTGTGAATCAATTTATGGACGAAGATAAACTGTTGCAGTACTTTTTGACTCATTAATTAACTCTGTGCCCTGCGTCGTGTTAAACTTTCATAATAATAATAATGTAAAATATATGGGCGTATTATGTAATTGTATTGCTGACCGAACAGAAGAATTAGCGGTTTTAAAAAACACATCAAACATCACAAAAAATATAAGCTATCCGGTCATCCAACCTAAAATATTCAAATTCATTAAGTACTTATTTCACTGAAGACTCAAAGAGCAAACTTCAATATCAAATTAAAAGGCGGACATTTTATGTGGATTTTTTTCGGAACATAATTTGTCATTTAATACAACAAACCATTTTAGTAGATTATATTAAGAAACATTTCCTGATACATATATAGCAAAAAGTTTAAACATTGGCCGTAATAAAGCAATGGTAATTACAAAAAAGGTTGTTGAGAAATGAATTTTTAGCTAGTAAATTAATGAAGTACAAATTTAGTGTAATTATAGATGAAAGAACATATGTAGGATTAGTTAAAGATATGGCACTCTGTGTTAAGTACTATGATCTGGAAGAAAATAAATTATTATCATATATATTATTATATTTTATCGATTTTTTTTCAATAATCTATAATTTGAATTTAAATATAAACATTACATATTAATACAAATAATACAAAATGCGTAGTATTATCTACTGTACGAGTATATTGGAAACTACGAGTATAAACTTATTTTATAAAAATTCGATATTTTATATTTTATTTTAATACAATAGAGTAGTTTAGTTGTACTTTAAAATTCCGAATAAAATCTGTTATTTCCATTATAACAAAATTATCAACTATGAGAAAATCTCAATGTCCAATGTCTCTAAAAATAAATGTTTGATAGGAAAATTACTTTTTAGGAATAGATCATTTTATCAATACTGTTTATGAACGGACGAAGAACCAGTCACGCGATAGTTTATTAATTTATAATATGTTACGCCTGATTTTAGTAGCCATAGAGAACTAAACGTAGGCGTCTTGAATTACATAAGTAGGCAACTAAATGTTGCACTTGAACCGTACGCTTTACGGTAGCGACAAAGGAACGGGAAACAACGGAGGGCAGGAGTTAGAGGTTAGTTATCGGGAAGGAGGTCCCTGTGACCTGATGAGGTTAGATGCAATGATCACCGTGCGCACGCAAAAATCGGAAAAAATACTTAAGTAAAAATTAAAACTACGTGATAACTGAATTGCAACTGGTAACTGGTGATTCCGGCAACCTAGGCGGCCTCTCATACACCACTGGAGATTTTAGTAGTCATACGCATGGTCTAAATAGTTCATGAAAGGAATCGTACAAGAACTTCAATAATTTATTTGAAAATTTCACACTTACGTGGTCAAGAAATAATTCACAGACGGTTTTTATTGTATGGTAACTTAAAATTGCAATATTGTGTCAATAAGACCTGATACACTATACAACAATATTTAATAACAATTAATTTGCCACATTGGCGTAAATAACAATAATTTATGTGTCGCTGTAATGGCAGACAACAATTTATGTGATAATAAAAATATAAAAAGAAAAAATGATTTATTACCGCAATAGCAAACAACGATAGAATAAAAAAGAACAGAAAAATTAAACAATATATCTTGTATAAGAATTAAAGAGAGTTAAAGTTATTACAAGAGCGAATGACGAACCACAGAACCGACGGTGCGATATCGAAACGGATGAGAAAAAATAAAGGATAAACCACTACAAAAGTAGTCAAGAATACATTCTTATGTAATAATTCATCTGATTTACATAAATTACGAACACTACGACGATAAACAATTTTACCGACTATGAACGGCAAGTGTAGAATGGATAAAATGGAAAAAGTTGTCGTAATCGCCGCCGCGTGTGCGAAGTGGTTCGGGTCGCGCATTGCCAAGCCCGGTTGACGTAAAATATTAAAAATGAATTATTCTTCCTGATAAAATACAGAAGTTATTTTTGAGGAACAATATTTTTTCATGTACTTGTATTATTTTCGATATACAATAAAATAAATACGCAATTCAGATTTAATTAAAATTATAAATTAATATTTTTCTATTTTAACATGATAAAACAACAATAAAATGATAATATCACAACAACAAGTCAATAATTTGCTTGCAGATCTTGAGTACAGTACTATATTATACTAATAAACAGTATTTGAAGTGTAAAAAAAAATAGAAGAGTTTCAAATATAGGTTAGAAAGTTGATAATTAATTAACTATCTATCTCTGTGTATGTTTCGGCTTCAAATAATGACGGACGTGGTTAAGTTATATATCGTTTCTAGAGCAACTCGGACAGAGCCATATTTAGAGGGGAGCTACAGGATGCTATTGCCTTAGACGGCTAATTTTTTATATTTTCAATATTTAATGATTTAATGTTTTTGAAGTGAAACTTCATTACAAAATAAAAAGTCTATCTCAAAAAAAAATACATATCGCCAATCACCGCATCACGATACACACATACTCGGTAACGGTCAAATACTGTCGATAGATCCGAAGATTTACAAATAATCTATCCTTATGTTAACACTGCGATTAGAATATTTTTGTGTACACCAGCAACAAATTGTTTTTCAGAAAGATCTTTTTCAATCCGTAAAAACATATTATTTTTTAGAAAAAAATTAATTTAAAAAGAAATTGTTCATTTTTATCTGACTACGGTTTATGTGATAACAAGCATTAATCAAGTATATATTTGGATGTACAATCCACCTTAAATTATTGCTTATATTATAAAAAATAATTCAACAAAATTGAAAATGTAATATCATATAGGCTATTGTACGGTGTATTATATATAAATTATATAATAAGTAATAAAAACATGAATAACAATAACGCAAAACTGATGAATGTAAAAATTAAAATCAACATTTGCGAGTAGTTTTCACAATAATCATAATAAATAGGAAAAACCCGTGGAAAACAACATATAAATCACCGATAAACAGGAAACGTTATTAGTCAGCAAATCATGTTTACCACCGACAAGCCATTCAATTTTTAGTTAGATTACAAAACAATACATTAGATAACTATAGTTTGTTGATGAAATTCTCGATAAACACTGTGTAAATAATACGTAAGTAATATTATATTTATTTTTTTCTATACGAAAAAACTGTCAATAGCGCGAACAAAAGTTTCCATTGTCCTTCAAACTTTAATCTGTGGTCGCAGTGAAAGGTTTTGAATTAGGGCGACACGACGTCGAAGACTATTGACGTTGCTATATAGACCAAGTTGGTGCTATGAGCAACCGGTATTTAATTAGGGCAAAGTGCGAATGGCGAAGCTTCATTTAGAATAGTGTCAGTACCAGGGTCGCAGCAAGCTCTGTGTAGGCTGGCTCGCAATCGCCACCTCATGATCCTGTTGGCCATGTCACGTTCACCGTATACGACACTGATACAGCGCTTCCTGATCACCAAAGAAGGAAAACGACGATTTCACGGGACGCGACGTCTGCAGCGGCGGAGAAAACCAATGGAAATGTTCGTGAAACACCACTTTTTCCATGCCAAATGTCAGATTGTTGTTTTTTCGATGACAACTACAACCGCCTCCGCATCATTGTAACCAACTTACGAGAAAATTAGTAAATATTATATAAATCGATTGAAAGCTCCCGCGCTCCCGCGAAAATTCGGCCATTCTGCATTACATACCTCCACAAAACTTACCATTTATTCCATCCCATCGTTCACCTCTCTAATTTTCGGATTCGCTTAATTATACTGTAATATTACATTCTAACCATATACGGTTTCCATGAGTTATATATAATTCATATTATCATAAAGGCAGACTTTGTGGTTCGTGGCGTGGCAAACGATAATTGAAGTCTAACCATGCTTTTTATTATAATCAGTTTGTATTATATTCAACGAGTCTCAAAGCATATGTAGAAAATATATTAAATTCACATACATTTTGTTAATGATAGTCTTTTAAGATAATAAGAGTAGTGATTAGGTACCAAAATTATTAGAGTAGTATATTTAATATTCCCTTTTTTATTTTTATTAAAATCATTTAAAATATATCGCAACCGGGTGACTATAATGACACAAGTCAAAATTTTTCAAGAAAGGATATACCAAATGTATAAATAAATAAATAATAAATTAATATTTAAATTAAAAATTAATCATTTGTTCAATTGAGTTTTCGAAGTTGTACTAAATTTTATTATTTTTGTAAATCTATTTTTGATATAATTAAAAATTTCTAAAACACAATCACCTAAAACAAATAATTTGAGTTGAGTCAATGTTTATGATTTGTTAAGAAAAGATAATACGACTTGTGTCAGCAATAATATTTAAATGCCATTTTCACGTCAAAAAATTTTCGTATAATATAATAAAATTGCACACTACTACAAAAAATTAACATCACCCTGACATTTACATATACAACGAGTGCTAACGAACAATCAAAACTGACTAATAATACCACCGTAATAATGAAATTGGAAAAATGCATTGCAGCATGATGACAAAA